TCATGCATCTACTCAATGTTTTGGCCACCTCAGTCTTCATGAATTCTCTATTTACCCTCCGTCACTGATTTGAACATTGCAGTCTTCTCTTTACTCCTTTCGTCCAAATGGGTAATGATGAGACAATAATCGAAATCGGTGCACAAGTGTGCAAGTTGAATGACAATAAAACTGAAACTGGAATCAGCTAACTTTTGAACACAAGTTGTACGTCAGAAATAATCGAAATTACCTGATATTTTAAAATTATACTCTCTGATAGAACATGCAAGGTGTGAAATTATGGATCAAACAAATGGATGCTGCGCTGAGGCCTTTAACTCAAGCAGCCAAAACAACCAGTGATTTCATGTTCATTTTCTTATTTATTTGCGCAAATCGTACAGGTACAANTACAAGTTGAGGGCAGTGCTGGCGAAAGAATACAGATGTGCATTCGGTATCTAGCCAAGTTCGTTTACCAAAGCAAAATACTTCATTTGTTCCGTGATGAATAAATTCGCATCAACGTTTTTGATGCAACCGGGAATCGTCTTCGGTGGACTGAACAGTAAGGGATGAACTTAAACCTAGTTCCTTTGTTATTCGATCGATCTCATCCTCTTGGTTTCGGACCAGTTGCAGAAGGCGCCGTATCTCGTTAGCTTCTTCCGTAAAGTCCGCATTGTCACTCAATCCCATCTGAAATAAGGAACATTTTGTTGTTTTTCATTTTGTTCTTTACATAATTTTCAGTGTTAGCTTGGATTTAGTCAGTATGTATAAGAAACATTAGATTCTCTATAGAAATTCGACATATTTGCTTATACAGTATGGCAAAAATACACAATGAACACCGAAGACTAAAATGTACGGTTTAAATCCGGTTTATGGGATATTCTTTCACCATAGCGATGAGGTGAAGTTCAAACTTCCAATAAATGTTTCATATTGCCATGTCCTCGTTAGCATTTCAGTGAGATTAATTCGTTACCAACTGTTACCACTACGATAATCCCAGGGTGATATTTGCTTGGCTAAGTGCTTTTATTTTAGTAGACTGAACAACGTGGTCAGCACGTTTTCCTCACGAATTAAGGAAGACAGTTGTCCCTTTCCCCTATCTTTTGTGTCATTGTCCCAACTCCACTTTGCTGTTTATTTGATCTAATTATCACTATGTTATAGTTTTATACATATCTGTTATATGTTTTATGTGTATTCACTCTTGACACATTTTCATGCGTCAGTACCACGTGGAATATTTCCTGCACCCAATACCCTTTTGAAATATTATAAATTTAATTGGAACATCAATATGACGGTCTGTTTTCTATTCTTGTTGATTTCATTTCTTTGAATTGTAAAATTGTTACAATGTGAAGTGGCCACTGGACGTACCACACACTCACCCGAGTATAATAATGCTTTCAACTTGGGCGGATTTGGTACCTTATTTTTTAGCAGCGCGTAAAATGTCTCATCTCTTGATCACAGTTTAACCGTCGATTTCCGCATCCATTTTTTTGAGTGTGGACTGTCCAAAAATCAACCAACAACTTACTTTGAGCAAAACATTGTACCACAAAACTTTATAATACAAGTAATGCCATCCTTTTAGCATAGTATTTATCTTGGTATGAGCTTCGATAGTCTTGAATCGAGTGCCATTGCTCTTTTTCGACAAATGGCGGGCCTATTAACGCAACCAGGATGCTCAATCTTGATGATAGTCGTTCACCTACAATGAACGACGTGAATGTTGTTCAGTATTCTACTGGTGGGCATCACCTAATACATATGGGGCCACAAAGACTCATGCGACATAAGTGGTGAGTTATGAAGTCCATTGCAATTGCAGGATTCGGAGTCAAATATATGCCATCTCATGGCTCCGGGGGTACGTTTTTCAGGATAAATCAATTTACAAAGCCTTGGTCAAAATCAGTATACCTTCTGTATACACCTTACAAAAGTTGGTGAATCTGGGTGATTTATTACCGAGATATTGCGGTAAAACGAGGGGTCGAAGTCAGGTAAGGCATTAAGTGCACTATACCTGAGGTAATGGTGTTGACTCCCGACCCAAAGGTTCGCGGTCCGATTCCTTACAGAGACGGAGAAAGTACAAATTGCTGACGCGTTCCAAAACGACGAGACGGCTTTCAGTTATCCTTGACGGTTATCATAAGGATTTCCATCGCATTTAAATGTGTTAGTATCTGTTTAAATCCAGACTCTGGCTCTTAATGCTGATCTGTGTTTTCGCAAGTTTTCGCCTCTCACTGTTTGTTGACAAAATATTCATAAAGCTGCATACAAAATATTGAAGTGTTTTTATTTCCCAACCCTTGTGGTATTCACACGTTGTAAGTAGCTGTACAGAAGTTCGTAAGTTTTCCTTTTACATTTAAGTACTAGGTAAACAAAACGAATACCGGAGATGTGTTTGATGCAGTCAATCGGCCACTTGTACGAATCGAATTGCATAGAGCTTGTAAACACTTAAAAGGCCGGTAAGTTCCGGAAAAAAAGTGATGGAAAATGTTTTGCGGTGAACTTTTCACTTCCAGAAGGATATAAACACTGAATGCAATTGCTTTGGATGCACACAAACAGTGCTGTGGTTTTTTAGCGCTCATTACGTTTGCGTTCGGCACTAATCGATCAATTCCGTTCATTATTTATACTCTCGATGTGACTCGTTCCCGAACGGTGAGTGACAAGAACCACAACATCATTCACGCGCTTTAAAAGATATTTTATTAAATCTTCAACGCACTACTTATCACATATGTATCTGTGCAACATGACCGACTCACCTTAGATAATCGTTTTTTGTTGAGATCGTTTTGAAGCGTTTCCTTCTCATTAAACAACATCAACATTTTTGACAGATATGCTGTGTTCTCTCGCAGTTTATCAATACAAGAGTCCCGAGCGTTTCGAATGCGTTCCTGTTAATTTTACATAGGGGAGCAGTGTTGTGGAGACGATGTGCGCAGAAGGTCCACAAAATAAAGTTAATACAGATTTACCATATACACTGTGGAAGACAAACATTCAAACTCGGGCTGAGGTTTTGAACTGGCCAGATCACACAACCATGAACCATGAAT